GTTGAAATATGGGTGGAAATAAAAATTTCAAACAGAAACTGCATATTCCAACGGTAAAAAAATACCGTTGGAAAAATAGCTTTTGGAATCATCAGATTCAATCAAAAAATTCTAATAGAAAACTCATACAAACGAAATATTTCGTTGAGATGATTCCAATAGAAACTATGCCATTAGAATATAAATTAGAATTTTTATTTGAATATATTATAGTAGAATTTTTCATCGAAATATAATATTTTTTTTATAGTGTATTGGCTTTTATTTATGTCTAGTAGACTTAAAAAATTATAAAACACTGTTAACTTAGATTTTACATATAATTTAAAACTTAATTATAAACGTTAAATAAACTTTAATTGTTCTAGAATTTTGAAATGTTAAAAATAATTTGACAATATATCCTTCACTCAACACACATACCAAAAAGAAATGTCACAAATTAAATAACTTTAGAATTTAGATTATAGTGTTAAGCATAATAATCTTCAGATCATATTGTTAATCAACCAGTACATAGTTGTAGAGACGTGCAAAATTTAACGGCACAAAGCATGTTAGAGTAATTGATGATGTGAATATTGTATTTTTGGTAGAGATAGATTTCCGTATCTTAGAGATTTGGTTTATATTGATTTTAGGGTTTTCTTTCTCTCTTTATATATTCGACTCTTGTGAATCTCAGAAAGCAAGGTTTTGGGAAACGAATTGGTGTTCACATATTTGTCATGATATCAAAGTCTGGTTAATTTTTTTTTTCTCGGATCTCAAGTCTCGATCAACTGAGACATTTCTTTTCTCTCCAATTTCCGGCCCTCCCCGAATCTCACCACCCCCTCCACCCTGTCCGGCATCGTCCGTCGAGTCTTCGCCGGAAGTTTCAGGCCAATCGCCGGCGCGTGTGATCTCCACGCGCCTGATCTCCATCGCTGCACTACGTGCTTCTTCAGGAGCGTGTGGTCTACCTCCAACACCGTCCACCGCCGCCTTTCAGCAGCCGACTCCTGTCGACGTTGGCTACCTTGTGGTGTGATCAGATTTGTTTTTCGTGAACTTTTTATTTTCTACCCGTACTACTATCTTGTCTGATTTCTGATCCGATTCGTAATTTTCTCTCGATTGCTTCGTGATTTTGTTGGTGATTATCATATTTCTGAGACCTCGTGGCTCCTTCTTCCTCGGCTAGTCAATGCTCTCATTGCTGGAAGTCGGGTCATCTTGTAACATCTTGTTTTGGTGTCGGCCGCGGTAGTCCAGCCCTTGCCAACGCCGCCTTCGCGAACAGTGCTGCACTTAGTACATTTGGCTCTATCCATATCCTCATTGACGGACTCCGATCGGGCTGGGTTAACTGATGCCCAATGGGAGTCTATAGTCCACCTCGTCTCTTCCGCACGAACAATGCTCTTTTGTCCAGTAAGCATACTTCTTATGCGTGGATGTATGATAGTGGTGCCTCACATCATATGACGGGCTACTTGGAATTTTTTTTCTGATGTTCAGGATATTCCGCCCCGGTCTGTGCAGTTACCTAATGGCACGCTCACAACTGCGTGTAAAGCTGGCACTATTCATCTCGGTTCTCGTATTATTTTATATGATGGTTTGTTCGTTGACAGTCTTCAGTGCAACTTGATATTATTGTCTCGTTTGTTGGAACAATCTGGTTGTGTTGCTACCTTCACTAGTACATATTGTGCTATTCAGGATCTCACTTCGAGGACGGTGATTGGAACGGGTGAGCAGTTGGGGGAACTCTATTTTTTTTAGGGGCGATCGCTGCCAATGCTTCTCGAGTGTCTTCAGTTATGCAACCCTTGTGGCACCAGCGAATGGGTCATCCCTCTTCTACTGTCCTAGGTAAATTGCCTTTTTTGTTGAGTCTCGCTCCTTGGTCTCGAATAAAACTTGTGATGTTTGCTGTCGGGTGAAGCAGCCTCGTGCTAGCTTTCCTCTTAGTCGAAGTGTCAGCAGTTCCCTCTTCAGTCTAATTCATTGTGATGTGTGGGGACCGTATAGAGATCCTGCTTTTAGTGGTGCTCGATTTTTTTTAACTATTGTTGACGACTATTCTCGCGGTACTTGGATTTTTTTGTTGGATGACAAATCTTCGGTGTCTTCCACTTTACTGCAATTTTTTGATTTGGTCAAAAGGCAATTTGGTGTGTTGGTTAAAACTGTTCGCAGTGACAATGGGACTGAATTTACTTGTATGCGTGATTATTTCCGTCAACAGGGGATTGATCATGAAACTTCTTGTGTCGGAACTCCTCAACAAAATGGCCGTGCTGAGCGCAAACATCAGCACATTCTTAATGTTGCTCGAGCATTACGCTTTCAAGCCCATTTACTAATTGAGTTCTGAGGACATTGTGCACTTGCTGCTGGCTATTTGATTAATCGAACACCTACTCCTCTTTTATCCGGCAAGACTCCCTATGAACTTTTGTATGGAGAACCTCCCAACTATGCGCATTTACATGTTTTTGGCTGTCTGTGTTACGTGCACAATCAAAACAGGGAAGGTGACAAGTTTGCAAGTCGGAGTCGTCGATGTGTTTTTGTTGGCTATCCATCTAGTCAAAAAGGGTGGTGTGTTTATGATTTGGACAGCCGCACTTTTCTGGTCTCACGTGATGTGAAATTCTGTGAATCAGAGTTCCCTTATTTGACGTCTCTTGCTCTTGACACTGTCATCTTACCTACGGTTCCATGGCCTGTTGTGTCTGACGATGATGATACTGTGGTGGTTCCCACTACGACGCGTATCGCTGACACTAGGGGTTCTGAAGTCATTGTTGATAGGGGGGTAATCCTCCCCAAGAGGAAGTGCTGGGCCGTGGTCATCGTCTCAAGAGGCCCTCTTCCTGTCTTACCGACTTTGTCTCTCATACTATTTGTTCTTCGTCCCCCCACTCTGCCTCCTCAAACACATTATCATCTGGTACTCCTTACCCTCTCGCACACTATGTCTCTTGTGATTCCTTTTCACCTGCACATCAGTCATTTCTGGCAGCTATTTCTTCTGTTGTTGAGCCTCAGACCTTTTCTGAGGCTGTTCGAGATAGTCGTTGGCGTTCGGCTATGCAACTGGAGATTCGAACATTGGAATCGAATCATACTTGGGATATTGTTTCTCTTCCTACTGGGAAACCCGCGATTGGTTGCAAGTGGATTTACAAGATTAAATATAACTCTGATTGTTCTGTTGAGCGCCACAAGACGCGTTTGGTCGTCTTGGGTAACCGGCAGGTGGAGGGCATTGACTATCAGAAGATGTTTGCACCTGTCGCCAAGATGGTTACTGTATGAACTTTTCTTGCTGTTGCAGTTGCTCGACATTGGGAGGTTCATCAGATGGACGTGCACAATGCATTCTTACATGGGGATCTGTCTGAGGAGGTCTACATGAAGCTTCCTCCTTGTTTTCATTCACCTGATCCTGGTAAGGTGTGTCGATTACGCTGTTCTTTGTATGGTTTAAAGCAAGCTCCTTGGTGTTGGTTTGCGAAGCTTGCTTCTGCTCTACGACACTATGGTTTTCAGTAGTCATATTCTGATTACTCACTGTTTGTTTTTCATCGTGACTCATTGAGTTTACATGTTCTGTTTACATTGATGATCTGATCATTTCTGGAAGCGATCCAGTCGCCATTACTGCCTTTAAGGATTATTTGGGTCGCTGTTTTCATATGAAGGATTTGGGTTTGTTGAAATATTTCCTGGGTATTGAGGTTGCTAGGAATTCTTCGGGAATTTTCTTGTGCCAACGGAAGTACACTCTTGACATTGTGACCGAGACCGGTCTACTTGGCGGTAAACCGGCGGATTTTTCCATGGAACAGAATCACCAGCTTCCCTTAGCAGACGGTCCTCTCTTTTCTGATCCCGAGCGTTATCGGCGTCTCGTTGGGCGATTGATCTATTTGACAATCACTCGTCCTGACTTGTCTTATGCGGTTAATACTTTGTCTCAGTTCATGCAGCAACCTCGTCAGGCCCATTGGGATGCTGCTCTTCGGGTAGTTCGTTATTTGAAGGGTACTCTGGGTCAGGGTATTCTTCTTCGTTCAGATTGTGACTTGCAGATTTACGGTTGGTGTGGCTCTGACTGGGCGACTTGTCCCAATACACGCCGTTCTCTTTCAGGCTGCTTTGTCCAGCTTGGTCATTCACCCTTATCTTGGCGCACCAAGAAACAACACACTGTAGCCCGGTCTTCTGCCGAGGCCGAGTATCGAGCTATGGCGACTCTTACTTGTGAATTGAAATGGTTAAAGGGTTTACTTCACAGCCTTGCCGTCGCTCATTCTCAGCCCATGCGGATTCATTGTGACAGCCAAGCACCTCTGCACATTGCTGCTAATCCTGTATTTCATGAGCGCACGAAGCATATTGAAGTCGATTGCCACTTTCTTCGTGATGCTCTTGTTCAATGTCTCATTTCTACCGCTCATGTTTCCACTCATTCTCAATTGGCGGACATCTTCACCAAGGCCTTGGGAAAACGCGAGTTTGATTTTTTTCTTGGCAAGTTGGGCATCCGAAATCCGCATGCTCCAAATTGAGGGGGGTGTTAGAGTAATTGATTGTGTGAATATTGTATTTTTGGTAGAGATAGATTTCCGTATCTTAGAGATTTGGTGTATATTGGTTTAAGGGATTCCTTTGTATCTTTATATATTCGACTCTTATAAATCTCAAAAGGCAAGGTTTTGGGAAACGAATTGATATTCACATATTTGTCAAAGCACGATATCAACAACGTCAAAGACACTTATTTCAATAGCACAAACACAAATAACAAACAAAACTAAAGCACCAAGAAGACATACCCAGCCCAGCCACACCTTACATAACAAAATTACCGCAAAACCATAAAAGCGCCAAACAATTGAAATAAAACACACAAAATCAACATTCAAATCAACCACAAATCCAAAATCTAAAATCAAACAAACTCCAGGCTAGGCGTCACATAGATAGATAATTAATCAATTCTAGCAATGGAAATTATCATTAAAGTCACACTTGGAAGGCAGCTGCATGGCGAGTGTTGAATTGATACCAAAGAGTGACAAATACTTGTTGTTCTTGAATCCACACAAGCACGTGACATTTGCGTGGTGGAGGGCCCCACAGCAGGCGGCAGTGGGCGGCGGCGGGGTGGCTGTGCCGGTGGCCACAGCCGGCTTGCATTTGAGAAGCTCGTCTTGGCTCATCCCGCATATGCTTCCATCGTCATTTACGAGCTTTGCTTTTCCACAAATGGCTGCTAATATGAACACTAGGGTTAATATTATCATCTTTGTTGCAATTTTTTTCGACTCCATCTTTTTGGGCAAGGGAAAAGAAGGGCAACTAAAATGTTATGTTAATAATGATGAGGAATTTTTGTTTGGTGTTTGGCTTCTTTTTCCATTGGCAAACTATAAATGTGGGTCTTTATATAGAAAAATGTTTCGTGTCACAAGACTCATATGTGATATCGCGTAACAAGTATTTTAATTATTCCCTATGAGATGTCTTATGAATATGATAATAAAATAATTTANTATTAAACGTTAATATATTGATTATATAATGGTAGATTAACTCATCTAAATAAACTCCTGATGACATTCTGCGCAACACTTTAGAAGAATCGAACAACTCGATATCGATTTAATTAATTTCCGAACACATTATATTCTTGTTAACAACTGAGTATCGAGTTAATTACCTAATATCATACAAATTCCTTTAATGTAATTAAAACTTAAAGCTAAAAAACCAGTTAAAGTACCAAAAGCATAAGATTTTTTTATAAACTAAAATCTTTGATTGGATACTAGATTTTTTTCGTAAAACTAGCTCTCCTCCCAAAAGGTCAAGAAATGAATAAAGTATAAAATGTTGTATTTATAAAAAGTAAGATATATTTGATATTTATGATGAATATTAGGTTAAAATGCAATGATTAAAGTTGACGTAATAGAGTAATAATAAAATATTTGTTGATAGGATTGACAGAAGATGTGAGTGGATGAATAGATATTTTTAAAATATATAATAATAGTTGCTTTTTATTTTTAATTATGTTAGTGAGATATATAGAGAAAATATGAGATGTATTATTTTTGGAATTTTTTATTTTTATTTTTCATTTTAGATTGAATGCGATAAATCATGGCTCTAAATAAACAAAACTGAGAAGCAGGATGTTCTCTTCCATGAATATTCACTCAATTTTTTGTCCACTTATTAATGTTGAAGCAAATTGGTTCCGGCTCAAATCAATGTACCTCCTTGGGGCAAACAAATAGACAAAACAACATCTATCATCCTATCTTATCTAATTTATGCTTCATTTCTATTGCTCGAAAATTTCAAGTTACAATTTTGGTAATATAAATTGAGAATTGTGTTATTTTTTGTTGGTTGATGATGTAGACAACTCGAGTTTATCAACAAGTGAAAATTAAGCTCGTGAGTAATGGTGACAAGTGTAGGGGGCTGACGCACTTGGCATTATAGTCACGGGTCTGCTCCTTAAATGTGTTTTCTAGAGAATGCACTAAAAAGATTCTTTTTTCCTTCCCAAAGTAGATAATTTATAATAGTTTCATATTGTCGTTGTTGATCATTATTAAGCATGTAACTGTGATGAATTTACTTTCTCGTGACTTTTAATAAGTGGAAAGTACAAGGTTAACTGGCCATTGGCATTTACAAGTTTGTGTTTGGTTTCAAGGTTAACTGGTATTGGTCCGATTATAGATCTATCAGTCTTTGTAATGTGACCAACAAACTCATCTTCAAGATCCTTAACGGTCGCCTAGCCCCTATCTTCCCTTCTCTCGTCTCTCTTAACCAGAGTGATTTCATTAAGGATCGAGTCATCAGTGATAACATCTCCCATACGAACCGGTTACGAGCCTCGAACCTTGTGCTGAAAATAGATATGGCTAAGACATATGATAAGGTCGAGTGGTCGTTTCTCAGGGAGGTTCTGTTTCGGATGGGTTTCCCTGAGAGTTGGATTAATTTTGTGGAGGCGTGCGTGGAGCACTGCATGTTCTGAGTTCTAGTTAACGGTAGCCCCACTGACTTCTTCCCTTCCACCCGCGTGGTCTTTGGTAGGGGGTTCCCTTATCCCCCTCCCTTTTTGTCCTGGCGACGGACTACCTGTCTCGTTGCTTTGACTGCTTCATTCGCGATATCCCGAGGATGACCTATAGCACTCGTAGGTATGGTCCTCCCATCTCGCACTTTTCTTATGCGGATGACATTATTATTTTCACTCGTACAGATAATAATTGACTGGCCGAGCTCATGCGCCTCCTGGGGCACTCAAACTAAGGTACTAGTTATTTCGAATGAACAAAATAATAATGATGACCGAAATTTAGCATTCTTCAATGCATCTTTAATTTGCCATATCTACCATATCATTTTGATCATTCAAGTATGAAGTGATTTGATATTAGTTGAATCTACAACATAGTGGTAAATTAGACTAATGAAGTTTGATTATATGATGGCATAAAGTGTTTTAGTGTTGTTTGTTCATTAGTGTGGTAAGTTCATGAATATTTGGCACTGATACTTAATTACTCACATTGATTACCTCATTCAAACTAAGATACTAGCTATATCGAGTAAACAAAATAACATTAAAGACTAGAATTTAGTATTCTTTGAAGTTTATTAACGTGGGTACTTAACACCACAAAATAAGTACTTATTAATGATCGATTGAGTACCATTACTATATGGAGTAGGTATCAATCTCATAAACGTTGACCAAAATGCAAGAAATTTAAGTTTGTTGACCAAAGTCGGTACTTAATCCTAATTTATAAGTACTATTAAACCACACACTCAGTACTATTGGGAAGAAAAATAGTAAACATAAATTTTTTAATTCGCAATGTCTACCATGTTATTTTAATTGTTCGTGTATGAAACAGATGGATAGTACCAGGTTTGACGTTTACTAGTACTCATGTAATAATATTTAGTACCAATTTGTTGAATAAAAATGGATTACTTAGTATAATATAAGAAATTGATATTGGTATTGGAAAACAACAGTATTACATTCGACATTTCTGAGTACTCATGCAATAGTATTTATTACCCAACTTTGTTGCCTCCATCTTTCGTTGGAGTTCGTCGCATTCGCTTTTTGACGGAGCATTTAGCAGGGAGCATTAGTTTGTGATTAAGAAAACTTTTAGAGCATTTAGTTTTATAAAAAAAAGTTAATTACTTATTTTTTTATAAATACATATGTTGCATATATATGATAAATAAAAAAATTCGATCTTATAACATGTATTTCATATAGCAGAATTTCTTTTAGATAATGCAAGTAGCTCTCTTAGGTTATCATCTATGCAAAATGCAATGTATAAAAACAATCGTGGTAAGTTGTTATTATATACAGATATTGTTGGGGTAGAACACCAAGCGCAGCGGACAAAACTATGCCTCCAACAAATATGGCAAGCACTACTCCAAGCGAAAATAAGCCAAACAAATAAAAGACGGGAAATAAAAAGAACACAAAAATTGATAACGGAGTTCGGCAAATATTGCCTACGTCTCCGGGCACCGCCAACCGCAACGCCAAATTTACTAAACTCACCAACAAAATACAACTAGGGTTAAATAACCCACAAATTAGGATTTCCTTAATTAAGGATTTCCTTCTAATAGAGAATAGAATAGAATAAGGTGCAATTGTAACCCAAAGGCAAGGGACATATTTATACTAATAAGATCCTACACATCTTTGGTATACATCCGATGTGGGACAAACAATTAATCAAAATCTAACAATTCTCTACCTTGACTAATTTTGCTCCCACTCTGATTCTTCAATCCAACTCAACTGCTGGCGGTGCCTCCAAATGCGCCTCTCGGCGCCAAATCAAATATGCAGAATGTTAGTCAAGTCCAAACAATGTTCAAACTTGACTGTTGTCACTACCTTGGTCATCATATCTGCAGGATTCTCCGTCGTCTTGATCTTATTCAACAAAACGGTTTCATCTTCTAGAATCTCCCGCACAAAGTGATAGCAAACATCAATATGCTTTGTTCTTGCATGAAATACTTGATTTTTCGCTAAGTGAATAGCGCTCTGACTGTCAAAATGCACTAAGACGTGCTTTTGACCAACTCTCAAGTCTTCAAGCAAACTTTGAAGCCAAATAGCCTCCTTCACAGCTTCAGTAACTGCCATATACTCTGCCTCTGTTGTAGATAAAGCAACTGTTGACTGTAAGGTAGACTTTCAACTGACTGGAGCTTTCGCAAAAGTGAACAAATATCCAGTCGTTGATCTTCGCTTATCCAAATCACCCGCATAGTCAGAATCACAATATCCAACTACACATTGACCAACTTCATCCTGCTCATAAACTAATCCAACGTCTACAGTAGTATGAATGTACTGTAGAATCTATTTCACAGCTTGCCAATGACCTTTACCAGGGTCATGCATATACCTGCTAACAACACCAACTGCTTCTGAAATGTCGGGCCTTGTACATACCATCGCATACATCAAATTGCCAACTGCATTTGCATATGAGACTCTATCCATGTATTCTCGTTCTTCATCACAATTTGGTGAAAATTGGGAACTTAACTTAATATGAGGGGCAAGTGGTGTACTTACAGGCTTCGTCTCATCTTTTATGCCAAAACGTTGTAGTACCTTATTCAGATATTGCTTCTGAGTCAAACAAAGCTTGCCTCTCCTTCTATCCCTACTTATCTTCATCCCGAGAATTTTCTTAGCTTCCCCTAAGTCTTTCATCTCAAACTCTTGATTCAACTGAGCCTTCAAAATATCAATCTCCACTTGGCTCTTTGATGCAACCAACATGTCACCCACATACAAGAGTAAGTAAATGAAAGATCCATCTTGCAGCTTGCGTAGATACACACAATGATCGTGTCTACTTCGTGTGTACTTCTGCCCAATCATAAACTTATCAAACCGTTTGTACCACTGTCTATGAGATTGCTTCAGTCCGTACAACGATTTGTTCAACTTACAGACCCAATTCTCTTTTTCAAGAATTTTGAATCCTTCTGGCTGGTCATGTAGATTTCCTCATCTAAATCTCCGTAAAAGAACGTCGTCTTCACGTCAAGTTGAGCTAGCTCTAAATACAACTGTGCTGCTAAGTCCAACAGCATTCTAATGGAAGAGTGCTTAACAACTAGAGAAAACACTTCATTATAATCAACTCCTTCCTTTTGAGAGTAGCCTTTAGCCACCAAACTTGCCTTGTAGCGTACATCATTCTTATGAGGAAATCCATCTTTCTTTGCAAATACCCACTTGCATCCTATCGCCTTCTTGCCTTTTGGTAGTTGCGTCACCTTCCAAGTCTGATTCTTCTGGAGAGACAACATTTCTTCCTCCATAGCCATTTTCACTTCTCATTTTCTAAACTCCGAATTGAATCTTGAAAAGTGAAAGGTATGTCATCATCAACAATTGGAAGTGCATAAGCCACCATATCCGCCAATCGAGCAGGTTGTTGAATCTCTCGTCTGGGCTTTCTCAATGCAATGGGTAACGCTAATGATTCTTGAGTCTGTACTTCATCATCCGATGAATCCTTTGATATTGGTTCGTAGATCATAGCTGGTCGTCTCGTCATCGCATTTATCTCCACCTGCTTCGGTGTCAACTCCACCTGTTGGGTTTGCGTCGTCTTTATCATACCTTGTTCATCAAATGTAACATCTCTGCTAAACACAGTTTTGTTCGTCTCAAGACACAAAAGACGATATCCCTTCACGCCAATTGTGATTCCCATGAACAAAACCTTTTTTCGCTCTTGGATCTAACTTTGAATCTTTCACATGATAGTACGTAGGACACCCAAAGACATGTAAAGATCCATAGTCAGCAACAGGTTTTCCCGACCATACCTCCAACGGTGTTTTACCATCTTTTGCAGATGACGGCAATCGATTTATGAGGTATTGCACGTATGTTACAGCCTCAGCCCAGTACTCCTTGCCCAAACCAGAATTGGATAACATACATCGAACTTTATTCACCAATGTCCGATTCATGTGCTCCGCCACCCCATTTTGTTGTGGTGTCCGTCTAACGATGAAGTGCCTAACAATGTCATTTTTTACGGCAAACTTCATAAAAGGGATCACTTGTATATTCTCCACCATTGTCTGTTCGTAGGACCTTGATCTTCCTTCTAGTCTGATTCTCAATTTTCGTCTTTCATGTAATGAAGACACCAAGCACTTCATCCTTCATCTTCATAGTGTACACCCAAACATGTCTGGAAAAGTCGTCAACGAAAGTGACAAAATAGCGTCTTCCGCCTAATGATGGGGTCTTAGAAGGTCCCCAAACATCCGAATGAACATAATCCAAGACACCTTCCGTGTTATGGATAGTTGTTCCAAACTTCACTTTCTTCTTCTTTCCCAAAACACAAGCTCACAAAAATCTAATTTGCACACTTTGACATCTTTCAACAATCCTTGTTTTGCCAATGTCTGCAAGTATTTTTCACCAGCATGTCCCAACCGCATATGCCATAGCTTCACTGCTTCAGACTCCTTGTTGGTGGAATCTGCTACTGTTGCTGTCCCAACAACTATATCACCTTTATAGTAATATAAGTTATTCCTCCTGATGCCTGTCATCACCACGAGCGAGCCGGATGTAGCCTTCATCACTCCATCTCGCAAAGTCACTACCAAGCCTTTGGATTCCAAGGCTCCTAATGAGATGAGGTTTTTCTTTAAACTCGGCACATACCGAACATCCGTCAAAACTCTGGTGGATCCATCGCAATTCTTCAAACGGATTGAACCTATCCCAGTTGTCTTACAAGCATTATCATTACCCATATAGACAACCCCTCCATTGATCTCATGAAAATTGAAGAACCACTCCCTTATGGGAGACATATGGTAGGTGCATCCTGAATCCAAAATCCATTCGTCTGGATGAGATGATGAAGGTGAAACCACAAGTGAAAATTCTGAGTCTTCACCTCCACCCTCGGCAACATATGCATCTTGAGGAGATTTTCCCTTCTTCTTCAACTTAGGACAGTCTTTCTTCCAATGTCCTTCTCATGACAAAAAGCACACTCATGTTTTTCAAGCTTGGCCTTGGAACGTGATCTTCCTTGTCTATTCTTCTTTTGGCTCTTCGACCGACCTATTGCAACCAACGCTTCATCTTCGGCTGCTGCATTCTTCGTCTCTTGTTTGTTCTTCTTCCTCAACTCGTAGCTATACAGAGCAGAACTGACCACTGCAAGAGTTACATCGTCCTTCCCATGGAGCAGAGTAGTCTCCAAGTGCTCGATGTCATCCGGAAGTGATGATAACAACATTAGAGCCAAATCTTCATCGCTGAATGTGACGTCCAAATTCAACAAATCTGCAACCAACTGATTGAATGCAGTGACGTGGTCATTCATCGATGTGCCATGTCGGTACTCAAATCGGAACAATTGCTTCTTCATGAAGAGCTTATTCTGGCCGCTTTTCTTCAGAAATTTATCCTCCAAAGCCTTCCACAGAGTGTGAGAAGAATTTTCATTCTTGAACGCGTACTTCTGCTCCCTCGACAAACACGAACGAATTGTTCCACATGCTAAGCGGTTGATATTCTTCTAGTCCTTCTCTTCAATGTCGGTTGGCTTCTCTTCTTCAATGGCAATGTCGACGCCTTGTTGAAATAGGCAATCCAGCGCCTTGCCTTGCCACATGCCGAAATGACCGGTCCCATCGAAGATCTCCACCGGGAGTCTGACGTTCGGCATCACCGTCCTTGCCTGAACAAATGCAGAGGATGATGCGCCCTTGACCTCCTTGGACATCTCGAACCCGAATGCAGTGCTCGCGTCTTCGAATAAGCCTAGGGCAAACCTTCGACTCTGACACCACTTGTTGGGGTAGAACACAAAGCGCAGCGGACAAACCTACCTCTCCAACAAATATGACAAACACTACTCCAAGCGAAAATAAGTCAACACAAATAAAAGACGAGAAATAAAACTAACACAAAAATTGATACGGAGTTCGGCAAATATTGCCTACGTCTCCGGGCACCGCCAACCGCAACGCCAAATTTACTAAATTCACCAACAAAATACAACTAGGGTTAAATAACCCACAAATTAGGATTTCCTTAATTAAGAATTTTCTTCTAATAGAGGAGAGAATAGAATAAGGTGCAATTGTAACCCAAAGGCAATGGACCTATTTATACTAATAAGATCCTACACATCTTTGGTATACATTGACAAACAATTAATCAAAATCTAACAGATATACAATATTAAAAACGACTAATTAGAAAGAGTTGAAAAACTTACAAAAATATAACTAAAGATACTTCTTTTGTACAAATTATGAATTGCAAAAAATATTAATGCCTACCTGGACGGCCCCTGATTTTTTTTAAAAAAAATCTATATATATGTATATATATATATATACATATAAAGAAAATATTAAAAATATGTATAAAAATGTACAAAGTATTTACAATATATTAATAATTATTTTTTATGCTATTTTAATTAGTAAAATTATTTATTTTAAAAATGTACTAATAATTGGTATATTTTACATTTTTAGATAAATTTTAGAAAAACATTATCACGATTTACTGTTTGATCTCTTAATTGTAAATCGAGTTAGTGATTTATAAAACCTAGTATTTAGTATTGTTACATTTTTGAATGGTGATTTTTCACTTTTTTTTTTGTGTGAAATCACATTTTAAAATTTATTTATTTTCTTCTTAATAAATGTTCATTTGATAAACTCTCATTAACAAAAATTCTATGCAATGTACTGCAACAGTTTCTGTTTATTTTTTTTTTTCTTCTTAAAAAATGTTCATTTGATGAACACAATGTACTGCAAAAGTTTTTTTATTTTTCTTCTTCAATTATAATAGTCGCGCTCACATGAGAATGGTGCTTAATGCGAGAAATAAGAATAAATCTTAGCTATCGGATCGGATAATCTAATGGTTAATAAAAAAGTTAAAATTATACCTTCATTAAGGATAATGTGGTAATTTTCACGTACAAATAATGGGGCCCGCAAACACCAACTCTCACACACCCACGTGGTCAAACCCACTCATCTCACTAATCTCTCTCTCTCTCATACTCTCTCTCTCTCACACGAAGTCCCACACACACTCACTGTACACATTGAAATCGTTGCTCACCTTCAGTCCGCCATATCCGCCGAAGTCTTTCCCCAGATCCGCCATTCCCGTCGTCATCGCCGCCTCCGTCTTCCTCCAGATCCGCCATTCCCGCCGCCATCTTCGTCCTCATCGTTCCATACAATGGCCGCCGACATGGATGCCGAGAAAGCGTAGCCGTCGCCGTCTTCGGCTTCTCAGTAGCCACCATCTTCGTCCTCTCAGTAGCCGTTGCCGTCGGTGTCCAAAATCTCCTGTGAGGTTGCCATTATCTGCAGAGCACACACAGAAGTACACCATACACACACACTCACACACAAAATCTCCAGCAGTGATTCCGACCATGTCGCCGCCACATCTCCGCCATACAACATAGTCTTCTCAAGCCTCCGTTAACGGGCTCACTTCGCCATTTTCGTCGCCTACAATGGAACAATAGTCTCGGTCGCCGGCGTGAGATCGGGAAACGATTGGAAATCTAGCAAAATCAGCTCCGGCGACATTCCGTTCCCGGCTAATAGTGGCCTTCCAACTGCCGGCAACTCCGCGTACGGCGGAGCAAGGCACGCCGTCGAATTTCAGTGCCGGAAAATGACTGTAAATTTATTTGGATTTAGGGGCTTGTATTTGAGAATTTGATAACTTTCAAGGACCCAATTGCAATTTACATAATTTCAGTTCAATTCCACTTTGGTCCATTGGCCAAATTTGTAATTTATAAAAACTGTATAAATAATATATATATTTTTTTTTTCAACCGTACCGTTGGTAAGAGCAGAGAGCTTGAAGAAGGCAAGGCTAATTGATTTTTTTTTTTATACTTANTTTTTTATTATTATTATTATTTTTCTATACAATGGCCAAATAATATATATTATGTATTTTTAGAAAAAAATAAATAAATGTAAAGTATACTTTAATAAAAATAAAAAATGAATTATTTCAGTTATTTTGGTTAATATGATGTATAATTATATATACTAAATCTAGTTTCTGAATACACATAATTTATCTCATATCATACACTTTACAAAATTAAGTGTTGCACTTTACATAACTACACATTGCACTTTATACAATCCAGAACTATCGTCGATAGCTTACGCCAAAATACCACACATCATATATCTAAAAATATATCTACGTAATAATTTAACATCCATCACATCATCCATACCCAAAAAACACAAGCATGCTAACCTACCAATTGCAGTAGTAAAATAATGCACTTTATATATCAACACGCCGCACTTTATAAAATAACACGTTGCACTTCATCAACATACTCCACAATTAATGTCAACATCTATCGTCAAAATATTACGCTATATAAATCTAAACAACCGATCTACATAATACTTTAATATCCATCACATCATATGTACAAAAAAATAAAATAAAGCATGCTAACGTACCAAAATTCTGGTATTACACTTTATATATCATATACGTTTCACTTTGTATACAATGTATTGCACTTCATAACAAAACATGTTGCACCTTATAAAATGACGCGTTGCACATAAATTTTTTTTAAAAATATATTGGTTTGATTATCTGTTTGTAAGTTTAAAAATTTTGGTATCTAATGCCATTGTCAGCTTTATTGTTTAAAATAATCGAACCGACCAACTATAAAAAAAATAGTATTTTTTTTTACAACAAAAAAAATAAAATAAGATATTAAATAAAAACATTAGAATTCTAGATATATTTTAGTTTTAGTTTGATATGAAATAAATTATTAGAAAAAAAATATGCACTTCCAGTGCACTTTTGCGTTAGACGAATGTCACATTAATGACTGTCAGATTGCACAATACCGATTGAAACCGAGCGAACAAAGATTTCTGGTTCGAGATTTATATGTCGGCTCAATTATCTATTTTTACCTTCAAAAAATTAGTTATTTCAGTTCGATTTCATAAATCATAATGGGTATATTTAATGAACAGCTCTATGTAATTTCATAAATCATCATGGGTATATTTAATGTGCATGATCTATTGTATAATGTGCACTTTAAATACTACTAATGTGCAAGCATTTAACATAAATTAACTTACATATTTTTCTCCTTATTAAATTATAATTTATTGAACTTTATATAATTGCAATTAGGTCCTTGTAGAATATCCAATTTTCAAAAACAAATAAAAGAAATCCCACGATCTGGTAGTACTGAAAAATCCCAATCTCAAAATTTGGACACTCTTCGTCCTTTACCACGGCTGCCGTCGCCGGTCCATTTTTCGTCCGTCTTTCCCCGCGCCGACCATGTCCGGTCCGATCGCCTATTCCGGTGACTCTTTCGTCGTCCTCGCTACTTGTTCCACCTGCCGACCGCTTTGGCATCTTCTTCGACCACCTTATTTCCTTCTTCGACGCCTTCTCTCCTAACCGTCGGGTGGCGTGGCCGGTGACGGAGCTAGGACGTCGACCAGAGCTGAGTGTGTGTTTATTTGGTGTGTGCTGGACTGGCGACGGGCGGACGGCTGAGGAAGGCGAGGATCTGGCGGAGGTTTTCCAGGTAAAGGCGTCGGTCGATGGTGGCGGAGTGGATGTTATCGGCATTGAGTCGATGTCACCTCGTCGGAGTCCCATTGGCAGGCGGCGGAGCTGCAATGGAGGGGATGCACTGGTGGACGCCGGTCGTCTCGTGACCGGTTGGCTGAGGCGCGGCGGAAGACGGCGAGCTGTTGCCGTTCGGCGGCGTCCGACAGTGACAGATTATTTGTGTGTGTGTGTGTTCGAATTAACTGTGTGTGTGGTGTGTGTTTTTGGTGTAACTGTGAGAGAGAGAAAAGAGTTCTAGATAAAAGGTTAGTGGTGGGTCCTCCACAACAATTAATAAAAATATTATGTGTTCCACAAATAGAATGAATTTGTATGAGTAGGGAGTGTGGAGGAAAAACAAAATGTGTGGAGACTTAAAGGAAAATGTGTGGAGTAATTGAGCTGCATCCATTTTTTGCAGTCGCAGAAAAATCAAGGCTGTATTTCTATTTTTGAACTTGATATTTCCAATTTTCAGAATACGCTCTCTTCTCTCTGTTCAGGAAAAACCCAATCTCGCCGAAGAAACTCTCTTCTTCCACATCGCCGCCCCTCCTACACCTTCAAGCTCCCCGCCGCCCCACTGGAATTAGAGCTTGTCTATTCGGAGCTGAGGACATTTCCGTCTCCTCCGGGATTTGTGGGAGGTTGGGTTTGAGAGCTTTCGCCCCCGCTGGGTCCGAGTTGCTTCGCCACCTAGCCATCCCCGGTCATGGAGGAGACCGCCGGCAGCAAGAATTCAGGCCCAAGCCTCGAGGAGGTACCAACTATTGTTCCGTCGAGAGTCTTGTTATTCATGTTTTGGGTCTTTTGGTGTGGCTTGCCGTCCAATTCGATCCCTCTTTCGAGTACTCCGGCGAGGCGTGTTGGTGTCATCACGGCGGCTTCCTCTCCTCCCCCAAGCGTGGATGGTTTTTCGGAGTTCAAATCTGAACCGAGAGCAGTCTCTTCTTTCAGATCCGTCTAGGCGGCACGAGTAGTCGCAGTTTTCGGGCTTGAGGTTCCGGTTTGTGGTTTTGTTGGATACCTTTGCTAGTGGATTTGGATCATGTGTGGTCCCGGGTGGTTAGGCATCGAGTCTGTTAGGTGTAGGGGAGGCTCTAGTTTATTTATACATTAGGTGGTGTGTTTTGTTTTATTCTTTTTGTGTGTCAGTCCAGCTTGTCTGGTTTATCTCCTTTATGGAGTTTTCTTTCTCTTTGTGGAATTTTGTTTTGGGTTGTGGTTGTCTCCTTGTTGGAGTTGTATCTCTTATGTAGCGCCCCGTTCGAATACTGGATTTTTCGAATATTATTTATTGGTATTATTATTATTTGAATTACTTGTCTATATTGTATTATTGCTCGGCATTTGTCCGTTTAGACTTATTATTATTTAATTAGATGTAGTCTAATTAATATAATAAGTCGTTTAATTTTAAATGTTATTCATCATCAATCGAATCGATCGGGTTCATGTTATCGCGTTGTAACTCTTTTGGTCAATATATATATCGAGAAATATTTCGGCCCGAATAAGTTGATCCCGACTCTTTTGCTAAATTTAAATTCTTTCGGCCCGATTATTTGAAAATGTTGCGGTACTTTTAATAGTAAATTCCAGCCCAATTCTATCTTGGCCCAAATTTAAGTTGATTAAATTTTCAGGCCCGCATTAGCTCAAATTCTTGGCCCATGTGAGTTGTAAATTCGGCCCAATTAAGTTATAATGCTTGGTCCAATGGAGTTGGGAAAAAGATACTGGCCGTAATTGTTTTTCCTTCGTGCGTCTGATCGAGTCGTCCCCTTCGAATTTCTCGTTGCCATTCTCTGGGAGAAAATCTCTTGCCCC